TTTGGTGTTGTGTACAGTGACCTGATTACGTCAATAAAATTGGAGTGGAAACCAAACGTCTCGAGTACTTTATAGAAAGTCCCAGCTTATTGTATTGAAAGCTTTTTCAGCGTAGAGCAGGGGTGTCCAAAGTCGGTCCTCGAGTGCCGGCATCCTGTACGTTTTAGTGCTCTCCCTGGTGGTAGTAACAACCTTTTCAGCTTGTCAGTATTCCTCATAGGGCTTCTAACGAGCCATCATTTGATGCAGGTGCGTTAAACCAGGGAGAGAACTAAAACATGCAGGATGCCGGCCCTGGAGGACCGACTTTGGGCACCCCTGGCGTAGAGGCTGATCACTGCAGCTGGCGTTTGGTATTTTTGAATGTGGTTCAAGATATGCAATGTGCAACATATATTATTATGGGTTTGTCTCCGTGGGATAAAACCGGTCTGATCTGTATGAATAAGTTCTGGGAGTATCTCTTGTATTCTCCTTGAGAGAATTGATGTAAATAGCTTATAATCAACATTAAGTATAGAGATAGGTCTGTAAGAACTGCAGCTCAGATGGTCTTTTTCTTCTTTTGGAATAACAGATATTGTAGCCTTTTTCCATGTTGGTGGCATTGTACCCTCTTTCAGAGCCATGTTAAGAATTTGAAGGAGGAATGGTGATAACTCTAACTTAAATTGCTTGTACCATTCAGACGGAAATCCATTTGGACCAGGAGATTTATTTGTTTTAAGCTTTGTAATGGCATAAGAGAGCTCAAGCTCTGTGATATTAGCCATTAACCTTTGATTTTGATAATGCAACAATACAGGTAGGTTAAGTTGTTCTAGGAATTGTTTATAGTAAGTTTGGGAAGCTTGTTGGATTTCATTTTTTTATATATATATTCATTTTTTTTAGAATTTGGGTCCCTTATTTTGTATATTGTGTTGTCTGCTTGTTGTTTTTGTAATTTTTTCCCTAAGAGTTTAGAAAAACGGATTGAGTCTTATATTCCAATCCCCTCCACAAATAAGTATTCCCGTTGATTAGTGATGGGTCAACACTGATGCGTCAGCGCATGTGTGAAGCCCATAGACCAAAACCCATGTCAGTGCGCGTATTGGTTTCAGCAAGTCACGTGACCGATACAGGAACTGTTTCAAAATGACATTAAAGTGCCAAACTGTGTTTCTGTCAATCTGTCAAAAGCATTTGCCAAACGAATTCTTGATCTTTTACGGAACAGCGTCAGCTATGGAGCAGCCTCAAACGAAAGGTTTCCGCAGTGTGGGACCATTTTGATCTTATTTTGGAAAATAAATGTGTTTTCATTTTGTTGTTTCATCCAGTTCTTGTCAGTTTCTACTTGATCTATCTGAATCCAAATCCAGCTGAAATTGACTCGTAGTTTACTTTCATATTATGTTCTGCAGGTTAAGTGTCGCATATGTTTGACTAAACTGTCTTATTTAAATAAATCCACCTCCTCAATGCTGAGGCATTATGAGGCCAGGCATGAGAATGAAGTCCCAGATAAACTCAGATATACAGCCATTCTACAAATTACTCAGTTGCTTTTTATAAATTATTTCATATACAGTGAACCCTCGCTGTAACGCGGTTCACTTTTCACGGTATCGCTGCTTCGCAGATTTTTTTGTGCAGTTTTTTTTTCACAGTGTTATGCGTCCTGATTGATCGTATGACTGGTAGAAACAGTCTCTGCGCTTCTTCTCTACCTGAGTGCCAATAAAGTTACGGAATTTAATACAGATAGGAAACTGAAACTTTGAATGCCAGCTGGAAAAAAAAAAAAAACTGTGGCCAGAGGCAGTGCAAACCCCGACCGGAGGCTCGCTTGACGAGATCCATCACTCTGCCATAGATACAGCTATGAATCTCACAACGCAGCTTGGAGGAGACGCTTTAACGTCATAACTCTGGATCACATTAAGGCCCGATTGATGCACATGCACATCCGCTGATCTGAAAACAGGTTTTGTCATTTGGCTTCAATGTAGAGTATTTATGCTGTGTTATAACTGTAAAAAAAATAAAGGTAACTGCTTCACGGATTTCGCATATCACGGGTTATTTTCGGAACGCAACCCTAAGAAAAACAAGGGTTCGCTGTAGATGTAGTGTTTACTTCATTTTTTTCTACAGCAGGAGAAGTTTTGTCAAAAAAGCGTAACAGGCTAAATTTCAAAATGTTGTCCACAAAAAAACTTTTTTTGTGTGGGGAAAAAAAACAGTCCACAAGGATCCTCATTCCAAACACATTCACTTAAATTTTCACTTTATGGTACATGTTCACATTTTTTATTGTCCTTATATCAAATATATTTTAAATTTAATTGAAAATATGACATAATACAATATATAATAGTCAATAAAATACAAAGACTTAAATCTTATTGTATGGACTAGGTCAGTGGTCCCCAATTTTTATTACCGTGGACCGGTCAAGATTTAGAAATTTTGCTGCAGCCCGGGGGACGGGGGGGGTTGAACCGTCAGATAAGACTTCTGCATGTTGGTGTTCCCGCTAAAGCCTGAAACTGCCCAATTTGGGTTGTCTTGGCCCTTTTATCGCAGCCTGTGGGGTTTTCCCTGACTGGGAACGAGAACACAACCTGCTGAATGTGACAGGTAGCCAATCAGAAAGCGCAGTGACATAAGAACAGAGGGGAATCCCAAACAGCTGACATATCACGCAACTGTGAGTCCGTGGATATCGGAGATGATATGTGGAAATGTTTATTATTATATGTAAAGGTCATTATTATGTTTATTCAGCTAAAAATGTTAACTATGAAAAAACAGTCACCTCCAAATCATAGTGCAGCAAATAGAGCGGCTGCTCCCGTTGTCTTTTATCCACTGCCTTTTCTTTTTGTTACGTCTATTATCTCTTAAAATGAGTCCACAAACTATCACTATTGCTTCTACATCGTCATCCTTGTTTGGTTATTCTTAATTCCCGTATGCTATGTTGGGGTTTTTCCTGGATTATCCTCTGGAATCGGGATGTTCGTGACTGGAATCGGTTCGTGTTGCTCCTGCCTTGTGGCTGAACAGGAACTGATCAAACCTGTTGTACTTTTATCAGCTCTGTGGTCACAGAGGTTTGGAGAATCGGCCGACAATTCATAAATCTTGCCGTCTAAACCAGACTTAATTATCACAAGCTCCACTCCTCTCCTCTCGACCACTGCCCAAACACTCTCAGACTGTGGTCACAATGGTAACGTTTACATATCCTTTCAAAATAAGATACAGATGCGCCACAAAAACGAACATTTTACTTTCATGAAAATGTTAACTCACGATAATGACTGAAAGGAGCCCTGAGCTTGTTTCTCTGCAACGAGACGGTCCCATCTGGGAGTGATGAGAGACAGTGAAACCCGTAGTGTTGCTTATATGCACACCGTGCTCTGTCTCTATGTGGCAAAGCAGTTTGAAGCTTCATTGCTTCATTAGCAGCCGGTCGCCGCATGTTACTCAGAGCGGCTTGTAATGTGGGACTCACCTACTGGTCCGGGATAAATACATCCTCCTGTCTCTTCTCTGGTCCTTTTCCCCTTTGCAAAGAAACTTTCCAAAGACACCTGATCTGTTTCTTACTAATTTTGCTGCTTGTGGGCTCAGTTTTGGCGCGCAAGTAACCAAGAGAATCCGGTTAAAGGATTTTCAAAATAAAAGATCCTCCAGACTCAAATAATACATAAAACAGAAATATTTAATTATTTGTTGCGCGGCCCGGTACCAATTGGTCCACGGACAGGTACTGGATCAGGGGTTGGGGACCACTGGACTAGGTCATCAAATCACTATGTTGCCTGTAGGAATTTTTAATGTCCAGCAGGTGTCAGTATTCAGGTACACAGTATCGAGACATAATCGACACAGTTTTGCTATGGGTCGAAACGATACATGACGCCTCATCTACCCATCACTACCGTTGATTGTCCCATTAAATCAAATAGTTTTTCATAAAAATGAAAAGTCACCTTCAGGTGGAATGTGTACATTACATTGTGTTACATTGACTCCATCTATTCTACCTGTTATCATGTTATCAACGAATATCTCCCTTCTTTCAGAAACAAGTTCAAATGGAACTCTCTGCTATATTAATGTGGCTACGCCCCATCTAAGACTGGACTTATACGATGAGTAATATATTTTAGAGAAGCCCATCCTTTTTAATTTTTCATGTTCCTCGGATGTAAGATGTGTCTTTTGCAGCATAGCTATCCTTTTCCTTTACCTTTTCCTTCTTCATTTTAGATAGTATGTTATTTCTCTTCATGGGGTTAAGAACCCATAAAAACATAAACAAACATACTGTAAAAACGAATTAAAACTAGTAGAGATAGACAAACAAAAAGTGGATAAAGTGTTTGGTATTCTTGAGCCACTTTGGGTGAATCTCAGTAATTTATTTAATTGATTTAATTTAATTCCCTGTTGTTGTTATTAATAAATAATTGTTTAATTGAATTGAACCAACATACACTTCACTCCCCCAAGAATATACCAGAACTGGAATGGGTCATCATTATGGCCTTACCCTCAATGACCTAAGAATTTCAACCTGTCATTGGTGCTAAATACAGCAAGGTTTGTTTTAAGAACTAGTTAGTGTAGGTTTCTCTTAGGTAATTTCTGTTAATATGATTCAGAAAGAGTAAATATTGATGTTTTAATGCAATAATGGGCCCCATCCATGTGGTGGGACCTGAGATTAGATTGTTCCAAAGTCCAACAGTAGGGTCCTCAAATGTCTTCATGCTTTGTTCTGTTATGGGACAGAACAAAGCCTCATGAACCTTTGTTTATGAGGCTTTGTTCAAGAGAGATGTGAATGGAACATCTCTCTTGTTCCATTCACATCTTCTCACAGTTTGACATGGTTAACACAGGTGGTGGCATTTACAAACTGTTCTTAAATGTTCCAGTGTACATTTAACTGCTTCATAATGAGTTGGAGTCTCATGTGTGTGTTTGTCATTTAGGTGTGGAAGTGCGCCACTGGATCACATCTCCCTAAATCGTCTGTCTAACATGAGAAAAAGATACAGGTAGAGTCTGAGTCCAAAAACAGCTATGATTCAAAATTTTAGTGAATTTTGACTTTATCCTTTGTAAAATATGAATAATGTTTTGTGATAACCAATAGGGAAAGAAACATAGCTTTCATAGTAAACTGCTTTTAGCAGCTCTGACATATGCAGGCTTTTTCTGCCTCACCTTTTATATTCAAAGTCCACGATAAAATGTTTTTCTGTCAATGCTGAGGCTGCAGCACATGTCTAATATTTAGATCATTTTTTATGCATAAAGAAAGAATTCTGGGACAGAATGTTTAAGCCGGAAGTAGTACTCGATACTTGATTTTCATCCAGCAGCCCACAGAGATGAGGTTTCATTGCACTGCAGTAGATGTGAGCATGAAACAGAAAAAAACACACACATACACACGCACACGCACACACACACACACACACACACACACACACACACACACAGACAGAATGACTCTTCTGTCAGATACATGTGGTTTATGTGTAAAAAGCCTGTATGAAAGAGAGTAGCAGTTATTGTTGTTTAGTCTATCTGTATGTTTCACTCTAACCTGCAGCTGTCTTTCTGTCCTTCCATGTTTGATTATCAGGAACGGCTTGGGACCATCCAAAGAAGGAGAGGCTCAGTACTCTGTGGTGCATTGCACTGGGTACATCAAAGCCTGGCCCCCTGCAGGTAAAGAGATGTTCTGCAGCTGCAACTGGGCTTTCCCACACATCTCCAGCAATTTGACATAGTTTGACCTCTGTTCAGATAAATGCTTCTATCTGGTTTTGTGAAATACTAATATTTTGTCTAATCAATTTCTCAGCAAACATTTAGATTTCTGTTGTTTCGATGCCAACACAGAGGATTATTTCTGGGAAATTTCTAGGAAGCTCAAATCTCTCAGTGCAACTACCCAAACTGAGGGATTTTCATAAAGAGTGTTTTAGTGGAATGAGAAGCCACTTTCACACAAACTCAATATCCGAAGACAGGAAAAACAGTTACAAGTATTAGGATTTGGTCCTGGTGGATCAGAGCCAGATTGTGAGTTGAGGTTCAGTGGATGAGAAGAAACAAAAGCAAGAGACAAAGCAGAGTGGGCAAACTATTTCAAAAATGAGCTGGAAAATGTTGAGGTGTATGATCTAAATGTTCTCCTGCTCTGAGTAACAGAGAGCGATTCTTTCGTCTTCATGCTCACACTGGCTCTGGCACTGTCTGCAGCAGGTTTAATCATCACTTTCAATTAGTTCCTCACAAAACATCACTAAAGCTCTGGCTTTTATTGCAAAATATAGTTCTTTCTCCTTTGTTCGTGCATTATTTCTAACTCTCATTGCACCTGTTATGACATCTTCCTGTCCCTATATAATACAGGCATGACCATACCAGAAGAGGATTCAGAGGCGGGTCAGACAGGAAAATACTGCCTGGTGGCCATTGGGAGACTGCAGGTGTGTTTCAGCTCAACCACTATAACAGCAGAATCAACTTCCACACCATGACTGCACAGCAGCTTCCTCTTTGATCTGCCTAGAACTCTGACTCTTTTCACATATCAACATATAAGCCTTGCATTCCAGTGTGCCAGAAGAAATGATGCCATGAGAAAATGCCCTACATTAACCACCTTCTGATCATTGGCCCTCACTGTCAAATAAAACCAGCTCATTATTATCTGGTGTACGCAGAGAAATGTCTTCTGATCCTTATTATGAAAATAATCACATAATGACACAATGACATTGTGGGTAAGTAGCATCTTCACACTGCAGTTTAACAGAACTGACAGCAGATAAATGAAAGCCAAAAACCAGCACACATAGTTCTGTGGTTTTCTTAATATTTCAACACCTTGGATGATTGTGGCTTTCTTTAAGACCTATTCTCCATTGCTGCATGATGTGGTGACCTTTGCGTCTGTATGTGCCCCCTTCAGGTAACCAGCTCTCCAGTCTCCATGGATATGAATGGCCTGTCAGTTCCAACAGAGTTCCTCTCACGTCACAACTCGGATGGTGTCATCACGTTTGTTGATCCACGGTGCATTAACGTCATTGGTTATCAACCTCAGGTAAGCTCTTTAGGATTTCACAACTTCCTTCTTGTAGAAGATGCTGTGTTGCTCCTTCAGATTTTCAGAAACTTTGTTAGAGAATGCTGACTGGTACAGTCAAAACTGGTTATTTTCTTTGGTCATTAAAAAAGCCGCTAACACTGCTTTACGTATGTTTGTTTTCTAAGATTTTACTGAATCACGAAGAATCATAGTGTTTATGGCTACATAAGGAGGCAAAATAGATGTTGGTTTTTCAACCTCTCCTTTGAGTGCTCAGCAACATGAGGTTTCCAGTATACAGGTGCTGGTCAAAAATTATAATGTCATTTAAAAGTTGATTTAAATCAGTAATTCAATTCAAAAAGTAAAATTTGTNTAGTTTACTTTCATGTTATGTTCTGCAGGTTAAGTGTCACACATGTTTTACTAAACTATCTTATTTAAATAAATCCACCTCCTCAATGCTGAGGCATTACGAGGCCAGACACGAGAATGAAGTCCCAATACACCTAGGATAAACTCAGATATACAGCCAGTCTACAAATTACTCAGTTGCTTTTTCGAAATTATTTCATATACAGTGAACCCTCGCTATAACATGGTTCACCTATCATGGTATCGCTGCTTCGCAGATTTTTTTGTGCAGTTTTTTTTTCACAGTGTTATGCGTCCTGATTGATCGTAT